GCATTGCATGTGTCCCAGTAGAGTCCCAAACGAAGTTCAACTGCTGCTGAGGCCTCCCGGCCTGAATTTGGACTTGAAAGTATGGATCTGGACTGACCCCTGGACTTAGACCAGAACTGGGACTGTGCCTATTGACTTTACTTTCGGACAGGCACAACTCTCAACGAACAGACACATTTACTGTTTGAACAGACACTTTACTTGGCACGAACAGACACACTGCCTGCACGTACAGACACACCCTTACCCAAAAAAAACATGACATGCACATCTCCTGGTGAACAGGTAAGTCTTTTGACAATGCCCTTTGCCTTAGTTTTAAATATGCCTGTTGATAGAGAACTTGACCTTTGACCTGCTTTCACGTTTCTGAGCTCTGACGAGATACCTTTTCACAATGCCTTACTTTTTCAAGGCCCGTGCTGCTTTATTTTTACAAGGCCTGAGGCCTATATCGGGTAAAGGCCCTTTTACTTAAGTCATACTTCACAAAAAAGGATAGACTTGAATGCTCAGGAAAAAAAAAAAGGAGCTATCTGATGGGACTTTTGCAACAACTCCGCTTCCTTCTCTGGTAGTTATTTGTCCGTCCCTACATTGTTTCCCCCCAGAAGAGCCCATGAAGGCTATCGACAACCGTAAGTTATTGCGTGTCCTTCAGAGGCTTAAAGCACCAGTACACCACACATCGGCCCGCAGGTGTCAGCATGAAACCTGCACCACTTCGGAGGCTGCCAATTTTTTTTTTTTCAACGGCGCTCCAGGCGCTCGGCCCCTCCGAGTTTTGCTTGCGGCGACAAAAACTTTCTGCGAGACTGAGGCCGTGTACTTACTTGCCGTTTACAAGAGGTAACGGCAATGGCAGTACTTGTGGCAACCATGACAAGGAGAAGTTTCAGCTCCCAATGGCATCACCGTCCAATCCTACTTACTGTCATTTTGGTCCCTTACGGTCTTTTTGTCGCTTACAGTCGACTTTTGTCTCTTCACCTATGAACAGGTTTTCAACCTGGTTTTTTTTTTTTTTTTTTTTTCAACCTATCATATGATGGATAACCCTTTTTCCCTAATAGTAGGCTAAAAGACCCAAAATACATTCATTCGTCATTTCTTCCAGTCAATTTCTGAGTGACTTAATTGAACCAGCATGCTATCTGCAGCCTTGAACACAAAGTGACCCAACCAGCAAAGGCCAGCTGTACTTATGCAATGATTGACTCTGCACAGCAAGATCAGCACCCTGTGTTCGATACCATTGGAACAAAAAAGGTTATACAATTGTTCTTCCACGCCGTGGAAACCCACAAACACCAGTGTTGTGATAATGATGCAGATTTATCTCCTTCTCCCT